AATATAACAAAGAGTGAAAAATTTAAGGGGGTCTTTCCGTACCCATTGTATATATGTGTATATATATATATATATATATATACACACACACACACACAAGTCTGATTGGGCAGAGTGACTCAGCAGACTGAGACTAAAGCAAACGTCAGTATTTTAAGCCACAGAGTCGTGTGGTGAAATGGCAGTGGAATTGAGACATGGCCCTTATATATATATATACATACAATCACAGTAGCTGTATATCATGTATTGTAGCAAAAAAGAAAAAAAAAAAGATTTATTTTTATTATGAAGTAAAATGCAAAAAGTCATTATCTGAACCAGTAATGAAAGCATGTTTTATTTTCCGCATAGGCCTGGAGAGTGTTGATCACTACCCTATCCTAGTGGCTGTTTCAGGAATATTGGTGCGCATTCTGGTCGACTCCGATAAACACGGGTGAGTTTATGGCTTTGTGTTTCATTATTTTCCCCTGTATATAATGGGATTTCCACATTTATGCGTGTTGTCGGGTTGAATTACTGATGTAGATTAAGAAAATGTGCATTAAGGTAATATACGGTCACGCCGGCCAGCCCTGTGCTGTCGTTTTACACAAACCAAGCTTCTGTTTTATTTGATTCTGTCTGGATTTGGTCAGTGGGACTCCATGACTTGTGTTTCTGGTTCAAGAGGCATTTTCCCTTTCAAAGAGCACATTTGTTCTGAGGAAACGGGCACATGGCAGAGGTTTGTGTGTTGGCTTGAGTGCCGTGTGACTTTGGTCTGAGCTCCAGGAGCAATCAACAGTTAATTGCATGCTCTGCTGCCTGAGGGAAATCTGACAGCCACCCAGTCCCTGTTGTGTGTCTGTGGGCTGAGAAGAGGGTCAGAGCAACAGGATTCAGGACAGAACCTGTCCTGTGGGGAGGTGAAATCTAATAACGAGCTCCTGTTGGAAGAAATGAGATGTCTGAGAGACTAAAGAAAGGACAAACAGGGGCTCCAATTTATCACCATCGTTCCTGCTCTCAGGAGTTTTCTTTTTTCTTTTTGTGGCATTTGAAATGTTGTTTCTACTATAAGCAGTAGCTTTGTGGCAATTTTGTTCTTTCTTTTGTATTAGTCTTTTGCTAAATACTGTTAAATAGCTTCTTTTTTTAAACTAAATTAATACTTTTAAAGGGCACCTGTTATGCAAAATCCACTTTTACAAGCTGTTTGGACAGAAATGTGTCTTGGAATTGTGTGTACACAGCCATCTTAGAATGATAAAAATCCATCCAGTCTTTTTTTTTTATCTTCATAAAACAAAACCAGGCTAAAAAAATGAGCGGTTTGGATCCTGTCTGCAATATGACATCATATTGCGGTAACCCCGCCCTCCGCTATTGACTGACAGGCGTGTGTTAACATATCCTCAGCTCTCAGTGTGTTGTGCCATGTCCGCCATTGTGTCTGCGTGCGATCGGCTGGGTCGCATCCATCGTTACAAAGCGGCTGTGAAAAACTAAACAAGTACATCAATTATTCAAACTACCATAACGAGACATTCTGGTTCATTCGTATTATTGTTTCTTCTGCTGTAGTCTCTCCTTGTTCTGGGTCTGAGTCCGGTTCGTACATGTACGGCTGAATAATGGTCCTCTCGCTCTCACTCATGTTGCTTCTCCTCTCTGTTTATTGCCATACGCAGAGCAGAGACGTCTAGGCTCCGCCCCCTTCTGGAGTCGGGCGGGAAGTTGCAGCTCATTTTCATGTAAGGGGACACACCCCTGAAACAGCACTTTTTAGACCCGCCCCAAAAATTATACTTTTCAACACGTTATAATAGGCCTGGGTGATAAAACGGTATCGATATTATCGGCGGTACACCTTCTTCGATATCGATAGAAAAAAATTTCGATATAGCGCACGATATAGGCACGTGCTATGAGTGACGCAGACAGCACACACAAACACATGTTGAAATGAGTGCTGTGCCTGCCTGTGATGAGGAGATTGTAAATAAAGAATGAATATTAGTCGAATTTAAAATAAACATTTGCATTTGAGTGTTAGGATAAACGATCTGTATGGTATTTTGAGCTGAAATTTCACAGGAGAGCCATAAGAATAATATTATATCTTGTAAAAAGGGGCATAATAGGTGCCCTTTGATCAGCAGGGATGCATTAAATTGATCGAAAGTGACAATAAAGACATTTATAGTGTTACAAAAAAAATCTATTTAAAATAAATGCTGTTTTTTTTAGCTTTCAATTCATCAAAGAATCCTGGAAAATCCACAAAAATATTGGGCAGCACAACTGTTTTATAAATTACAGTTTAAAATATATTCACATAAAACAGCTACTTTAAACTGTAATAACATTTCACAATCTTACTGTGTTTACTGTATTAGTGATCAAATAAACACAGCCTTGGTGAGCAGAAAATACCACTTTTTAACATAAAAAACAACCCCAAACTTTTGAATGGTACAGAGATGAATGTACAACCAAAATATCATTACTTTTATATTTGCTTTGTTAAAATTAATAGTTTGGATGGATACAAATATTGTTCATGTCACAAAGCACAAGATTACTGACTAAAATTTATTTTATTTTATTTTATTTTTTGCAATAATATTTTTAATCCAGGGCCATTTAGTCATCAACCCTTGTAACATTTAACCCCTAAGCATTTTCAATGTAATAAACCTGTTTAAACTTGGGGGAAAATGCCCATTTCTATTAAAATTTTTCTTAAATTATAATGCAGGTATGTAATTTACTTAATGGAACACAGAAGTGCATGGCATAATTTTAGTTATTTATTTAAATTAAATTCCATATTTACTGTGACAGGGTTGACATAATGTAGCACTTCAGGTTTAGTTTTAGTGATAACAAATAATTATTTAGCAAATTTTATAGAATATAGTTTTTGTTTAAGAACCTATATTTGTTGATGGCAAATCAAGTGTTCATAGCTCTCGTACTTTGGGCCTGTGATGGGAGAATAGGAATTACAAAAAACACAAAACAACACACAAAACAAAACAAAAACAACACAA